AAGAGATCGAGACCATCCTGGTCAATATGGTGAAACCCCGTCTCTACTAAAAATACAAAAAATTAGCTGGGCATGGTGGCGCGTGCCTGTAATCCCAGCTACTAAGGAGGCTGAGGCAGGAGAATTGCCTGAACCCAGGAGGCGGAGATTGCGGTGAGCCGAGATGGCGCCATTGCACTCCAGCCTGGGTAACAAGAGCGAAACTCCATCTCAATAAAAAAAAAGAAAATGAACGAACTAAAGTGCAACCATGGGATCAAGAAAACAGAGAATCCAGCACAGAAGAGAAGAGACAGGAAGTCCTGAGACTACAGCTGTGGGTGCTCTGGACAGGAACCAGGAGTGGGATCAAGAAAACAAGAGAATCCAGCACAAAAGAGAAGAGACAGGAAGTCCTGAGACTACAGCAGTGGGGTGCTCTGGACAGGAACCAGGCTGACCTGGAGTGGGAGGACTGAGGACAGAAGGTTTATTTCCAATAAAATATGAAACTGATAGATTAGCTGTTTGAGTAATTTTAGAGTTCAGAGAGTCTGGGGATGAACAAGTGGCTGGGGCCATAGAAAATAGAACAAACCAAAATTTGAGTTAATTATTAATTCCAGGGGCAATGAACAATTGCACAAGAAAGGAAACATAAATTATATGGTTGAGCTGTGAACAAGATTTATATGGGCATATTAATATAAAGATTAATATATAATATAATGGGAATGAGGGGAGGGAAATGATGTGTGAATAGAGGGCATAAAAGACAGAATTTTTCATTGTCTGTAGTAAGAAATCAATAGATAATGTATAAAGTAGAAAAATCAAGAAAAGCAGTTAAAACCTATTCTTTGGAAATATAGAGGTAAACATGAAAAAATTGCTGAAATAATTGAAGGCAGTGTCTCTGAGGAACGTGAATCAGAGATGTTAGGGAAAAACAGGGGATATGGTTTTTGTTTCATTTTGTGTTTTGAGACAGGATCTCACTCTCTCATGCAGGCTGCATTGCCTTAGCAGGATCACAGCTCACTGCAGCCACCTCAAACTCCTGGGCTCAAGCAATTCTTCTACCTCAGCCTCCTGAGTAGCTGGAACTACAGGTAGGTGCCACCATACCTGGTTTATTTCTACTTTTTGTATGTATTTGTAGAGACAGGGTCTCTCTATGCTGCCTGGGATGGTCTGGAGCTCCTGCGCTCAAGTAATCCTCCCGCCTTGGCTTCCCAAAAAGTTACGATTACAGGTGAGCCACCTCTTCTGGCCTGTGTGTGTGTGTGTGTGTGTGTGTGTGTTAATAAGTAGGGTTTGTCAGGGACAGTCTCCGTTTTTCCTTCCTAGTCTGGGATAATTTTATTACCGTTGCCCCTCTTACTTCCAAAGTTGTCCCAGTTTTGTATGTAGCTCTGAAGTGCTACTTCATTTTTTAAACTATGTTTGTCTGATATTTTGATAAAAGTGAAACAAGAAAAGAAGGCTCTTTGGACCTTAAATAAAATAACCCTGGTTCATCAAGTTCAGCCAAAGACTTTAATTTTCTTTTTCCCCAAAACTAATTCTTGTTTTCTAAAATTTTTACCTCTGTACCTTAGAATGTATCCAAAAACTAATTCTTCATTTTAAATTAAATACAAGCAATGTGTCTGTTTTGAAGCATTTTTTACAGTCACTCACTCATTTAATCCTTACAACAGCTTCACAGAGTAAGCATCCTATCCCATTGTATAGATGATAAAAATGAGGTTAGGAAGGTCTTCTGATTGCCTACCAAGGTGACACGAGACCACTGGACCAGGCCCTCTAATTACAGTTTGCACACTCTTGCCACAATATCAAATGATAAGGCATTTAAGCCATCCTACAAATGAACAGAATCTGAGATAAAAACCAATAACCCAGATTAATAGCCTAACTATTAGAAAAACAGATTATGAAAAACAATGAATAATTTAAACATTCTTCTGTCTTTGAAAAGCAATTCTAATTAGTCTGCCCAGCTAGGCTTAGTGGAAACTGAAATCACCCTCACAGGAAGACAGTCCACACCTTCAGCCCTGTCACCTTTGGAGTCCCAGAGGATTAAATCCCTGCTGCTAAACCTCCAAACCAGGAAAACAGTCCTAGTGGTTTTTGTTGTTGTTTTTTTGAGATTATGAAATAATACATGACTATTTCAGAAAATGTAATAAAATAGAGAGAGCACAAAAGGAAAAATTAAATATTCTAAATCCCATCACTAGGGGAGGAAGGCAGCAAAACACACTGCCATGTGTGGACCTATGCAACTATCCTGCATGTTCTGCACATGTACCCCAAAACCTAAAATGCAATAAAAAAAATAAATCCCATCACTTAGAGGTGAATACACTTAACATTTTAGTGTATACATCTCTGACTTTGTAATACAAATACAAAAACAGGATCATATGGCATGAACTTCATAGTTACCTGCTTTTTTTCCACCAAACACTATATTTTGGACATGGTTCCATGTCCATAACCCTATGTCTACATTTTTCTTTTTAGTGGCTGCCTCATGGTTCATCATCTGAAGTACTGTATTTGATCAATCCTCTGTCACTAGATATTTGGGTTCTTTCTTTTTCCTTTCCAGCATTAACTCTGCAACAACAACAAAATTCTATACACACATCTTTGTGCCCATGACCAATTATTCCTCAGGATACATTTCCTGAAGAGAGATTACTGTGCCAAAGAGCATGTACTTTACCTGGGGGTTCTAACTCACATTGTACACCACCACCACCAACAGAGAATGTGCTTGCCCATACTCTCATATTCAGATGACCCAATGTGTTCTCTTATCAATGCTTTTATCCTTCCTGTGGGTTAAATCATGAATGAAACAAAGCAAGGGGGTTGGAATGGGAGGCAGTTGAAACAAACAAGAAATTTCAAGAGTTCCTTAATTCCTTCTTTTTAATCCCTCCCACACTCTAATGATTTTTCCAATTTGGAACTCTGGCCTGACTGGTTCCACCCTCAGCTCATACACCAACTTTCCCTGCCCATCCCTCTTCTGTATTTTTGAGGTTGACTTAGTCTCTCTTCACTAGCGAGTACATACATTCCTTTGAGGTGAAGGACATCACCTTAAGTGTCAAGGTTTGAACAACAATATCATCACAGGGTCACCGTGACATGCCCAAGGATTCTGAAATGTCAGGACCAGTCTTGTTAGAATGAATTGTTTAACAGTCTCCCACACTGATCTGCCAGCCATGAGAACAAAGCCACACGGAAACTTGACACAGAGGCAGTGTCCAAGATCTGGCTGGACATTCCTACACCTCCTCTGATTCTCAATGTTCCCTGGGCCCATTCCCTTCCAATTCCTCCGCCACTAGCCCGGCACTGAAATGCCTTTGTTCACTTTATTTTATTTATTTTTTTTTTGCCATTTTATTTTTTATTTTTTTTTCTTATTTTTTTATTGCATTTTAGGTTTTGGGGTACATGTGCAGAGCATGCAATACAGTTGCATAGGTACACACATGGCAGTGTGTTCTGTTTGCTTTCACCCCTTCATCCACATTTGGCGTTTCTCCCCAGGCTATCCCTCCCCACCTCCCCTCCCACTGGCCCTCCCCTTTTCCCCCCAATAGACCCCAGTGTTTAGTACTCCCCTCTCTGTGTCCATGTGTTCTCATTTTTCATCACCCGCCTATGAGTGAGAATATGCGGTGTTTCATTTTCTGTTCTTGTGTCAGTTTGCTGAGAATGATGTTCTCCAGATTTATCCATGTCCCTACAAACGACATGAACTCATCATTTCTGATTGCTGCATAATATTCCATGGTGTATATGTGCCACATTTTCCCAATCCAGTCTATCATCAATGGGCATTTGGGTTGATTCCAGGTCTTTGCTATTGTAAACAGTGCTGCAATAAACATTCATGTGCATGTGTCCTTATAGTAGAATGATTTATAGTCCTTTGGGTATATACCCAGTAATGGGATTGCTGGGTCAAATGGAATTTCTATTTCTAAGGCCTTGAGGTGTTCACTTTATATTAAATGGGCACCATTCGGATGCTACATTCTCACAGTCTATTCTTTGCTTCCTATTCCTCACTTGCTCCACGATCTGGGATCACGCTCCCTTTCTTCCTAAAACTTTCACACCTAGCTTCCGATAGTTGACCGTTTTGCACAAATGGTAACATTTCCCTGTAATTCCTAGAGTGTTTTTTTCCTTCCTTATCAAAAGGGGCTGCCAAAGCCAGCCTTGTTCAATTTATGAACTCAATTCCTTCTTCCCTCAAGACTGACACAGAGATTGACGTAAAGAGTATGCTCAGGTCGGTTAAATTTATAAATACAGAACTGGGTATCGCATGCTTGACCACGTGACTCATTTTATAAAAGTTCCTGTTGCTGGTGGTACCCACCCATAAAATAAAACACCCAGAACTTTGCACCTGGACGTATCAACACTCAACAACCTTTGTCCTAGGAACTCAGGGAGTCCCACAGCTGGCTTTTAACACCCCAGAGACTGAAGGAGGGAAAAGGCTGTTGGTAGCGACGACTGGCCCTGGTATAACGCTAACTCCCGTTTTGGCCAAACCTCCTCCAACACACATGTGCAAAGCCACATTCTCATGTAGAGGAGGCAAAACATTTGCTTTCTGGGTTTACCTTCTACCGTCTCAAACCAACTGGGCCAAAATTTTCCCTATTCACCAGGATTCCTCATGACACGTACACTTCTATTTTTACCGATTTTAAGAGAATAATTAACTGCTTTATCTTTACAAAAAATACACAAAGTGATATAGTCCAAAGACCAATCCTCAGACAAACTCAATTGCTAAACATCGGCGGGGAAAAAGGGGAGACCACGCCGCTAAGGTACTCGGAGAGACAACTTTCGGCGCGGCGGGGTGGCCCCGCCCAGACTGTGGCTCCGCCCCTCCTCCCATCCCTCGCTAGCAATCCCGGAGCCCCGCGGCTCCTCGAATTCCCCGCCCTCAGCCCCTGCGGGCCCACCATGCAGGCCCCGCCCCGGCCCCGCCTCGCCGCGACGTCAGTTGTTATGTCTCGGCTCCGGCTGCGGCCGCGGCTGATCTACGGCTCCCGGGGCTACGGCCGTGGCCTCCTGAGGTGGCGGGGGTGTTGGGGACGGCGGCCGCGACCGGCACCGCCCATCGGAGCGGGGCGGGCGCTGCGTGGTCGTGAGGCAGCTCAGTAGCCGCCTAGAGGAACGGCTTCGGGGCCTATTTTTTTTTTTTTCCCTCCGAGACCGATTCCCTCTGCAGAGACCGCGACGCCCCATCCTGGGCCGGGCCACGGAGTCCGCCCGCCTGAGAGGCGCCGCCCGTCCGTCGGCTCGAGCGAACCTGGAGCCACCGCCGTGCCCGCCGCGCTTCTCGCGGAGCCTGGGCTGCTGGCAGGGCCTGGGGCCTGGACGTCGGGCGCGGCGCTGCGGCGGCCGCTCCTACCCGCGCCTGGCGCGCTGGGCCCGGGGCCTGGCCTGGCCGAGCGCCGCGCCCTCCTGACCCGCGGCCGCGGGAGTCCTGCCCCCAACAGCCCCTGGTCCCCGGCCTGCCGCCCGGATCCCCGCCTCCTGGGCGGATCTGAATTATTTTTTGGTTTCTTCCCCTCCCCCTTTAGATCGCGGCACCGGAGGGCCGACCCCGCCACCTTGGTCAGGGTCCCCCACAGGGGGACGCGTCCCTAGTTTTGTTCTTCCCCGCGAGCTCTCCCCGCGCCCCTCTCCTTTCGGTGCTTAATGGATGGGGATTTTGAGTTTTTCCCCTTTATTTTTGTCGCTTCCTGACTGGGAGGCCGGGCGCAAGGCTCTGCGCCTCTGGGTCCCTCGTCGCCGCCTCACGCCCGCGCGGATCCCGTCACCTGCCTCCGGGCGGAGCATGGCCGGCCAGTGACGGCGCCGGGCGGCCCGCGCGTGGACACGGGTCCCTCGCCCAAGCTGCCCCCGAGCCGCAGCCCCCGCCCTTGACCCTTCTTTCGCGCGTATTCCGAGCTCTCTCGAAAGAGAGGATACTCCGGGGAAGATGTGGCTGAAGCTTTTTTTCTTGCTCCTCTATTTCCTGGTCCTGTTCGTCCTGGCCAGGTTTTTTGAGGCCATTGTGTGGTATGAAACTGGCATATTTGCCACCCAGCTGGTGGATCCGGTGGCGCTGAGCTTCAAGAAGCTGAAGACCATTTTGGAGTGCCGGGGGCTGGGCTACTCAGGGCTGCCGGAGAAGAAGGATGTCCGGGAGCTAGTGGAAAAGTCAGGCGAGTATCGGGCTTCCCCTAGGGTCTCCTGCACCTGGAAGAGGGGATGACCTGTAACTCCTAGTACCTGGCTGTTCTCCCAGAGTGAGGCCTTCCCTAGAAGAGTTAAAGCTGCCCGGGTTTCTTTGTCCAGCTTTCTACAATCAAGTATGCGGATCCCAGCTTTGAGGAGGAGGCTGACATTATTTGGAGGGGTGTTGGTGTATCCTGAAAGGGTAACCTTAAAAAGGTTATGGTAAAATGACAGTTTTAAGTGTAGCTTCTTAGCGTTGTTTACTAAGTTGAGTGATTTTCTCAAAATTTGGGAATATCAACCGGTTACAATCTGGAAAGCATTGTCAGTTGAGTTCATAAAAACATAAGAAAAACTCAAAAATATTGTCTGTCAATAGCAGTATTTGTTATGATAGTAATAATAAGATACCCAGAGTAGGGAAACATCTTTGGAATACTTACTATCACAGGTACTTGGGCCTAGGATTTAAATATTAAATCATAAGTTTGAATATAGACAGTGTACACCATACAGTATTAGCTTTTCAGACTTCAAGTTTGGTGAAAATAAAGCGAACATGTTGTATAAATGCCTGCTTTGAGTTTATATTTTTGTTAGAATTTTTTTAAATTTGCATCTTGGATGTAAAAAAAATTTTTGTCTTCTGTGTCACAGTCACCCTTGCATCGTTTAATGGGTTGAGAAATAGAAGTGAAATAGTGCTGAGAGAATATTAAAGTCTTAATGTGCTTTTAGTAATTGTTGGTCTTGGTACCATTGGGTGAGAAATATGGTTAATTTTTTTAACTGCTGTACAAAGTATATCTTTGGATATGCTTCCTGAAAGCAGAATGTAATTTGAGAAAGGCTTTCTGGGTTGCTGTAGGAAGCAGTTGAAAGTGATGGTTATCTTTTTTGTTGTTTCAGGTATTTCTGTCAGCTGTGTCTTTTACAAGACAAATCTTTTCCTTCTTTAGTACTCTATAGACATGTAGTGTGATAGACAAGAATATGAGCTTACTAGTAGTTTAACACTTGGATATTTGTAGGTTTCAGATTATAAAACTCATATCTCACTATTAAGGTAGAGGAGAGGAACCCACTCTGCACAAGTGATAAATGTTTCTTGAGAGAAAATATAAAATCATGTATTATTCTTGCCCCTTGTTTACTGACTGGTTTGTGGTGATTCTTATTTCTACTCCAGGGGGAAGAAATGGAGTAACTAGAATAAGAGCTCTAATAAATAAACTCGCTTGGTTTAGAGATGAGAAGTGTCTTAACTGCCAAAACCAAATTATTTTTTTTATGGAAAATAGTTTGATCACACATATTTTTTTCTTTTGACTGCTATTTATTATTGCCTTCTTTTGGGCCTGCAAATACTTGGCATTTTGAATGTATTAGGAGTCCACATATAACTTAAAGATGCACAGCCCACAAAAGTATGACTCAAATCACACACTTTATGGCAGAAAACTCATGGTATGGCAGTTTAACTGTAAGATATGTGAATGGTTTTGCTGCTATCATGCTGCAGTGCTTGGCTTCTCACTGTTTCATATTAAGGTGAAAGTTAAAATAATTTGACCTTAGTGGTTTTTTTTTCCTTTTGTTTAATGGTACATTTAATGTTAATTTGTTTAATGATACAAATTTGCACGTAAATTTGTATATGAATGTGGAGTTTGTTCTAACAGGTAAAGTTCTAACCTCCAAGTCACACAAATCCTGTTGCTCTTTTAAGCAGGGCTGATGACAAATTCTGTGAACCCAATTCTAAATCTTTTAAATAAGAAGCATATAAGTCATACTGTTTAAAAATGTGTATGAAGCCTGGATATGTCATACACAAAGCTAAATAATTAATAAGGTGATGCCTTTTTGGACTGGTACAAATTCAGTAATTTCCTAATAATTATGTGATAATCCCACTAAAATGTAAGCCCTGTTCTATAAAAGACGGATTTTTGTCTATTTTGTTCACTTTTGCCTGACACACAGTAAGTTCTTACTACATACTTACTGAATGTATGACTCTTAAGTGAGTACACTCAGGTTCTACTAGTAGTTCTTGTCTCTAGAATACAATTGAAAGTAAAATAACATGATTCTTAACAGTGTAAAAAATGGAATTACTGAAATTGGGAATCTAGGATTTTTGCAACCTTATTAGTATTATTATTTTCCTTTCTTCAGGTGACTTGATGGAGGGTGAGCTCTATTCTGCTCTCAAGGAAGAAGAAGCATCCGAATCTGTTTCTAGTACCAATTTCAGTGGTGAGATGCACTTCTATGAGCTTGTAGAAGACACAAAAGATGGCATCTGGCTGGTTCAGGTATGAAAAGCAGTGATAGTTCTTGATAATTTGAGAACCTTAAAAAAATTGTTTTTACTAAATAGTATATAGGAGCCAGTGACATTTTCGTGTACTTATGTCTTGTTTCTCACACATAACTCAGTTCTCTTAGGGAGGCTCTAGTATCTTCTTAAAAAGGTTTTGGAGACTGAGGAAAATGAAGATTGAGTAGTGGGAAAGAGAAAGTTGGGATGGGGGTCAACTTTTTGTTTAGAATCCGGAGAAGCAAATCTATTTTAATTATTGGACCTCGCTGAATTGAGAAATACACATATATATCCCTTTTATTTGGTGATTTACTCTGTTTCTCTTGGTTTTTATCTCCAGTTTTTAATTCAGTGACTTGATTAATTTTTCTATATAAGAAGTAGCCAACTTTGTGACCATGTGGAAAATGGTGGGGGTGCTCATTATGTAACTCATGGTGATGAGATTATACTTTTTAACCTTTTTATACACCTGTTTTTATGATAGCAAAACTGTGAGACTTAATTAGCATATTAGAGTTTTAGAGCTATGAAGGACCTTAAAAATATACTTTCCAAGATGTGATTTATTGTAAGTGGAACACATTGTCGTTTACATAGTTTAATGTAAATTAGAAAAATCTATATTATATGAACATGTAAATTTCATAAATATTGCTTAGAACAGGACTAAAGTTACTTATATTTTAAAACTGTGCATTCATTTAAAGTGACATATCAAGTAAATTAACAGCATGAATGTGGCCAAAATTATTAATGTAGTCTGTGAATGGCTGAAGCTTGGAAATTATATCAGACTAACCCTTTCTGAGACTCTGAGAGGTGAAGTATCTTGCCCAAGGTAATGGAACTGGTTGGTAATACTGAACCAGGATGAAATCCCAAGTCTTCTGATTTCTTTTCTGGTACTCTTGTTATTTCACACTGGAGTGGGCAAAGTTTTATTTAGGTCATGAAAATTAAAATAGTTTCTTCATATCTCTTTCTGAATGCAAAGACTGCAGAATATGTTAGAAAAAGCTTCGCGTTCAGAGACCACAGTTGCAGGTCTGGTACTGTCATTGACTAGCAGTATGATTGTGAATGGGTAGATTTTTCTGCTGCACATGGCCTCAGATAAATACATATACATCTAAAGAGGATAGAATAGTACAGTAGTCCACTGTGCTAAAGGGTTGAGATTTGGGAATTCTTCCAGAGATTACATTGTTTATCCATGGCCTTTCTTTATTGTAACCTTCCTATTGATTTGTTCTTTTACCTTCCAGATAATCTAATTCATTAATTTTTAAGTTCAGCAATGGGAGAGAGAATGGAAGGGTATACATTATCCATTTAAATTTTAGTTTATTTAGTTTATTTTAGTTTAGTTAATTGGAGTTGAAAAATAAGCTGTAGCTTTTTTTAAAGCTTTAATTTATAAGTATATTGTTGTTCTATTTCTTTTCTCTGGTACTCATTTCTCTTTTCTTTTTTCTTTTTATATCTTTTATCTTTTCCTACCCAGATCAAAAGGATCTGGTACTCATTTCTCATAGTCTGATTGAGAAAGACACTGGTTTTGATAATTTAAGATTTTATTACTGAGAATGAGTTGAGTAGCCAGTCCCACTGCCTTGCATTCAGTGTCAGTTTGTCACCCACATTGACTAATCCCATGGAAATAAATGATGAAGATGTTGCACACCTTTGAAACTTGGAAGGGCCATGTCTAAAGTCTTGAGTTCTTTTGCTATCTAGGATGCAGTCTATAGACAACAAATAAATTCTGGTTCAATAGTTAGCAGTATGTTCTTGGCTTGTTAATGATCTACGTTAAAGATACCCATGAATTAAACTCCTGTAATAAATATGTGGCAGAATTCATCAAAAGTTTATTCAGTAGATGTGGGTGTGCCAAGGCCCTGTTCTGGGCCCTGAAGATATACCAGAAACACATACCAAGCTAAGGCCTTGCCCTGCCAGGCAGCTCACATTCCAGTTGGCAAAGGCAGACACCAAATAAATAAATACTTAAGGCCAGGCGCAGTGGCTCACCCCTGTGATCCCAGCACTTTGGGAGGCTGAGGTGGGCAGATCATGAGGTCAGGAGATCGAGACCATCCTGGCCAACGTGGTGAAACTCCGTCTCTACTAAAATGTAAAAAATTAGCCAGGTTTAGTGGTACATGCCTGTAGTCCCAGCTACTTGAGAGGCTAAGGCAGGGGAATCACTTGAACCTGGGAGGTGGAGATTGCAGTGAGCTGAGATTGTGCCACTACACTCTAGCCTGGCAACAGAGTGAGACTCCATCTCCAAAAAATAAATAAGTAAATATTTACTATGACATTAGTCAGTGGAAAGTACTAGGAAGAAAAATAAGCAGATTAAGGAAATGAGAGTGTCAAGGAATTCTCTGGTAAGGTAACACTTGAATGAAGAACAAATAATGATAATAAATGGTACACATTCTAGTTGCTAAATTATTTTCCTCTGAAAATATTTTTAAACCTTATAGGTATTGATAGTTGAAAAACGACTCTCAAGAAAAAGAGAATGTATTTCTATGGTTTTCTGTGTATGGAAATGATGCAATAGGACACCTACTTAATTTTACCAGTGACGCTCAAGGTTTGCTGTCTGGCTTGAGTTCCTTGGGGCCGGTGGCTTATAATTGTCAAATGGCTTATATCTGTCAACTGACCACCACTGTCTGGCTTGTGTTCCTTGGGGCCGGTGGCTTATATCTGTCAAATGGCTGGCCTAGTCTGAAACAACAATCTCTGGCAGGACAACTGAGAAGAGTGAGATTGAAACCCTGTCCTTGGCACTGTGAACTAACCACGTAAGCTAATCAGCACAGCTACCCTGGTTTAAGCTCTTAAAAGAGGGTTGTATTTTTTTAAGCTATGTTTAACATTGAAAATATCTACTAGAAACAGAAGAGAAATATTGTCTCCATTGCTTGCCATTCTTTCAGCTCAGATCATATATTTTAATCTATGGTAAGGGATAACTTTCAAGATTCAATTTTTAACAATTTGAATTGTTGTCCTTTTCTGTTTACAGTAGTCCCCCCTTATCTGAGGGGCATACCTTCCAAGATCCCCAGTGGATGCCTGAATCATGAATAGTACCAAATCCTACATATACTATGTTTTTACTTATGTATGTATACCTGTGATAAAGTTTAATGTATAGGTTAGGCACAGTAACAACAACAACTAATAATAAAATAGAACAATTATAACAATATACTGAAATAACTTTTATGTAAATGTAGTTACTTGCTTTCTGAATATCTAATTGTATGTAGTATTTTTGGACTGCAGTTGACTGCAGAAAGTGAAACTGAGGATAAGGGGAGGCTACTGTATTTTAGAAGAAGCTGACTAATTTGTTCTCTGTCATTTAAGTCTATGAGGAGTGTTTTCATAGATAAAGATGCACAGATGCCAGCCAGTTCAGTCCTCTTCACATTTTCAAGTTTTTCTAGGTCCATTCTACATATAGTCTCTATAATGTGAACAGAACTAATTTTAGTTTTCAAGGTAGCAAGAACATACATATACATCTTTACCATTGGCACACTATGCACATGAAGAACCAAGTCTTCTTTTTTCTAAGTTATTTCTAACATTGTTTTTCTGCTTTGTCCCTAACCTAAGCTCATATCTTTCATTAGCTATTCATTTAACAGTTTTGTGGATTCTTTGGCCCCAGTCTTCATAGCATCACAGATAGAAGATGGTTACTGTTTTTTCAAAAGACTCTTGGTCAGAGAAGCAGTTAGCATTGTGGATAGGCTTCTGAAATGGAGACGTTAGCATAATTTATGGGTTTTATGGATTTATCCTCCTCTTAACATTTCTGTTTCTCTGTTTTGACTTTTGTCATAGTTCAAAGAAGGATATATTTGTTCCCTACTGGCTGTGTTACATCATACGGAATTTAAAGTCACTGGAATTGAGGTAGCAGTGAGAAGCATCATATGATTTAAAGTAAAGCTTTGGGTCAATATTTCCTGAAGTATTCTGTCAATATATTTCCTGTTTGGCTGACAAGAGTTAATAGCTGATTTTAAACTTATTTATCTTTGCTCCTAGATAATAATAGTTTTGTTAGAGGAGATTCTAAATTACTTATATCTTATTTGACACTACTGTGGAGGTGAAACACGTAACAAGCCACTTTATCTTGGTATAAGTATTTATAAACTCATAAAGTAAGAATACAAAAAATTTTAAAACCACTGTTTTGTTTTTGTCAATCACTTGTCCTCCCTCTTAATGGGTTTATATAGTTTGCATGTATTAGGTTGGCTTATGATTTTGAAAGTAGAGCCTATTATAATGAAATACTGACAAATGCAGAAAATATCATAGTACAACACTCCTGTTATTCCAAGGAGTTAAGTTATTCAACTAAACCTGATGTTATTATATGGAGATTAACAGTATTAAAAGGGATATGCCACATGTTTTGGTCAGTATTAAACCCTACCTTGAAAGAATGGGTATTTTTAAATGCACTGAATTAGACATCTTTATGTCTGAGGTCAAGAACATTGATGTGCATAGAAAGGTACTATTTATGCCACTGTTTATCTTTGCTCCTAGACAATAGTTTTATTTAAGGAGATTCTAAATTACTTATTTCTTACTTTTCGGTGTCCAGAAAACATCCCGGTGACAGGTTGCTGGGGAAGGGACCTTGATTATAACAGAAATCAAAAACTTAGAGTATTTCCTTTAGAGACTCTGTAATCAGAACTAGAAGAATGAGTTATTAAACTGTACAAAGCTGAAATCGTTTGGTTCAACATAAATATTTATTGAGCACCCATATGAGCTGGACACTATATTTGCTGCAAGGACTACAGTGGTAAGCAAGTGTGTTAGATGCCAGTTAGAGAGGCAGATACCCTGGGAAAGGGGATGGAAAGATTGCTTCACTTCTAGCCTGTGTTGACAAGTCTGTTCCAGACCTGGAACTCAAGCTGTACTCTGTCCAGTTTTGTTCTAGTCTTTGAAAATGTTCCCCACATAGAATGCTTCCTCAGCTGCTGAGGAAAATATCTCCCCTTTTAATGAGACCGGCCATATGAATGTCACTCAGAATCATACTTCTAGGATATGAGCTGTAAACTGGGGGCTGTTACTGGTATAACATAGTATGTGTGTGTGTGCATACATGTATATATATAATGTGTGTGTGTGTGTATATATATATATATATATATATATATATATGTATAATTAGGCTGAGAATATTTTGTTGTGCTATGTGGCTCAGCCAGATGAGTTATTTTGTGAAAATATTAGCATTTTTGTAGTGGTTGGTTAATTCAAACTCCACCAAATTTAATTTACCATAAACCTTCAGTTGAATTATATAACTAAAACTATATAGGACATTGGACAAAGCAATTTCTAATTGCATCAATATAGCTGTAAAGTAATATGAAAAGCTTTCATGCAACACCCAGAAGATTTTTCATTTTGTGTAGCTCAGTCAGGGATCCTTAAACCCTTCAAAAACAAATGCTAGAACAGGTTGCTGAATAAATAAGGCCCTGGCATTGAGCATTATCTTGTACCTGCCCCAGGCATGTTTCCAATTCTTTTCACTCACTTCTACTGTCTCTGCTGGAACCAGGAGATACCTGGGAGCAACTCCTGCTCATTCCTCCTTCTTTTCCTAACATTGGAGCTCTTATCACTTGCTCAAAGATACCTGTGCAGTGAACAGGGTCTTCACTGAAAGATGCCTCTAGACTTAGGAACTAAATATTTACACTGGTTAGGCAACCTCTGAACTCCTTGAAGCAGTGTCATTATGCACACAGACCTGAAATGTTTGAGTTATTTGCAACCTTGATCAAGAAATGGGATAATGCCTGAAAAGGGAGTTATTTTTAAAAGAGAGAAAAGAGTAGAGAGTATGGTAGTATAATTGCACAGACACTTCTTAATCTTCTTGAGTAATCTGAAAAATAAGTTAAACATTTCTTTGATTAGTTGACCAAAAGAACTACCAGATTGACTCTTGAGTGGTAGCAATAAAAATAAAAAATAAAAAAAAGAAGAGGCAGCAGTAGCCTGCTTTGTTTGATCTTCCTGATTTTCTAGGTAAAACTTTCTTGAGACAGAGTCTTGGTCTGTTGTCCAGGCTGGAGTGCCATGGCACAATCTCAGCTTACTGCAACCTCTGCTTCCCAGGTTCAAGTGATTCTCCTGCCTCAGCCTCCCAAGTAGCTGGGATTATAGGTGTGTGCCACCATGCCCAGCTAACTTTTGTTTTTTTAATAGAGACAGGGTTTCACCATTTTGGCCAGGCATGTCTCTAACTCCTGACTGCAAGTAATCCACCCACCTCAGCCTCCCAAAGTGCTGCGATTAAAGGTATAAGCCACTGTGCCCGGCCTTCTAGGTAAAACTTATGAAGTACTTCTGGACCACAGAAAAATGTAAAAGCTAGAGACTTACTGGGTTGAGTAACTGGTGTGAGCATCCTTCAAAAGAGCTTTCACCTATTAAGTCTATGTCCCCAAATTGCCTTCTTCCTGGTTTCTTCAACTATCTGAGTATTTGAATAAGTTGTATTTGTCTCAATAAGACCACTTGTTTTAATTAAAAAGTGCTGTCAAAACCATGGCTGGGCACAGTGGTTCATCCCTGTAATTCCAACAATTGGGAGGCTCAGGAGAGAGGCTCACTTGAGGCCAGGTGTTTGAGGCTGCAGTGAACCATAATAGAGCCACTGCACTTCATCCTGGGAACAGAGTGAGACCCTGTTTCTTAACAAAAAAAAGTAATATCAAAACCATTTGCTTAATGCCCTAAATTGTGTATGTATAATCATTAAGTTTCAAAGTTAAGTGATAAGATGTTATGTATCCATGTGTGTCTCTGTAAGTATGAGGATAGTAGTGGAATGTCACAGGGTTACTTGGCACATAAAGTGAACTTCAAGTCACTTGTCATCACCATGTGCTGTCTCTTCTGCTGCCCTCTGACATTTGCTAGATGTTCTAGCAGAGTGGCCACAGATGAGGTGGCTGCACCACCTCTTGCCTCTCCCAAGGAGTTGACTGTCAGCACTCATTTTACACACCTACCCGGAACTTCACTTCCTGGAGGCTTTGTGATTGTGAAAATGGTCCTTCCTCCTAGAAAGATTAGAGGCCCCTAGAGTATAATGCTGTAATTTTGAATTGTATAGTATTAGTAATATAACATTTATGAAAATAAACTTGGCTTGTATATCCTGGACTTAAACAGCTGGTTTCTTGATGACTTTAGACATTTTTGGCTTTCCTTCAACTTCCCATTTAGTTATTTTTATGGTCTTGTTTTTAATGTTTTTTGGTTTTTACTGGTATCTGCATTGAAATTCTGCCTTCATTAAAGGCAGGAAGATTAGCAAATAAAGGGAAAAGGTGTTAATAATTAGAAAGGCTGACATTTATAAATAAGAGAAGTCATGACATATTTTGAAGGTTTTTCTATATATATTATATAATATATATATTATATATATCTGTATCTATATATTTTTTCAGAGTCTTGCTCTATCTCTCAGGCTGGAGTACAGTGGCACAATCTCAACTCACTACAATCTCCACCTCCCAGGTTCAAGTGATTCTCATTCCTCAGCATCCTGAGTAGCTGGGACTACAGGTGCCTGCCACCACATCTGGCTAATTTTTGTATTTCTGGTAGAGACAGGGTTTTGCCATGTTGGCCAGGCTGGTCTTGAACTCTTGGCCTCAAGTGACTCACCTGCCTCAACCTCCCAACATGTTGGGATTACAGGATGAGCCACCACACCTGGCATTTTTTTCTTTTCTTAACAATCTTTTTCTAGCCAGGTGTGGTAGCTCACGCCTGTAATCCCAGCACTTTGGGAGGCCGAGGCAGATAGATCACAAGGTCAGGAGTTCGAGACCAGCCTGGCCAATATGGTGAAACCCCATCTCTACTAAAAATACAAAAATTAGCTGGGCTTGGTGGCAGGTGCCTATAGTCCCAGCTGCTTGGGAGGCTGAGGCAGGAGAATCACTTGAACCTGGGAAGCAGAGGTTGCAGTGAGCCGAGATCGCACCACTGCACTCCAGCCTGGGCAACAGAGCGAGACTCGTCTCAAAAAAAAAAAAAAATCTTTTTCTTTTCCTAATCCTGTGTTTGAAAGCTTTTGCGAATTTGAAGTACAAGTTCAATAATGTAAAATTCATTATGGTAATTCTTATATGTTAGAGCCATTCATGATTGTTAAGCAAAAAGCCATAGAAGTGGTAGTATTTATTGATTTAGTCAAAGCATCCTTTAATAGAAAACATGTATTTGACTCTTGGCTGCATAATTATACTTTTTAAAAAGTGAAATTTGAACTTGTCAAATCTACATATGATAATTTTTAGTAAGTTTTATTTGGATTATTATTTAAAACTTTCTTTTCGGAGCAAAGAGAAATTATTCCAAGGGCCATTTTCCTCCTGTGTAACTTAATTAGAGAGAAGAAGCCATGTGGTAGAGAATGTGGCTAGCTTTTCTTTTGAGACAGTTTCATTCTTGTTGCCCAGGCTGGAGTGCAGTGGTGTGATCTTGGCTCACTGCAACCTCCGACTCCCTGGTTCAAACATTTCTCCTGTCTCAGCCTTTTGAGTAGCTGGGATTACAGGCAGGTGCTACCACGCCTAGCTAATTTTTGTATTTTTAGTAGAGACAGGGTTTGACCATGTTGGCCAGGATGGTCTCAATCTCCTGACCTCGTGATCCGCCTGCCTCCACCTCCGAAAGTGCTGGATTACAGGTGTGAGCCACCGGTTGTGGCTAGCTTTTTAATACAGTTTTGACCCCCTCCTCCTTTTTGTAACTGCCACAGAGTGTGGGAGAGTTTAATTTACTTTTCAGTGTTTAAAGTCTTTTTCCTATTGGATATTGCTCTTTCTGTAAGAATTGTAATGATAATATGATGATACAGTAAATAAGAACTGGGAACAGATTATCTTCTTTTTTTTAAAATGAAATTATGTTGTTGATATAAATGGTTGATTTGACTCTGTTTTACGTGATTCAAGTTTCTTTTCTCTTTTTCTGGGTATAGGTCATAGCAAATGACAGAAGTCCCTTGGTGGGCAAAATTCACTGGGAGAAAATGGTAAAAAAGGTATCAAGATTTGGAATACGTACAGGCACATTTAACTGTTCCAGTGATCCCAGGTACGTTGATTAAGCAATCTTAGAATTTGAGTCCTGACCAGGGTCTTTCTTGTTTAAAAAGGACAATGATATTAGAAGCCTGCTTGAACTGAAAGCTTATGATAATGCTTAGCACACTGTTAGTTACACAGGTGCTTGACTTTTTTTTTGTTTTTTGAGACGGAGTCTTGCTCTGTCGCCCAGGCTGGAGTACAATGGTGCGATCTCGGCTCACTGCAACCTCCGCCTCATGGGTTCAAGCAGTTTTCTGCCTCAGCCTCCCGACTAGCTGGGATTACACTCACATGCTACTGCGCCTGGCTAATTTTTTGTATTTTAGTAGAGACAGGGTTTTACCATGTTGGCCAGGATGGTCATCTACCTGCTCCGGCCTCCAAAAGTGCTGGGATTATTGACGTGAGCCGCCACACCTGGCTTCACAGGTGCTTGATTAATAGCTTTTGATAAACTAGCAGTTAATGACTTTCACTCTAAGATCTTTCCTGTCTGCTTTATCTCCCTTTCTCTCCCTGTCCTTTTCTCTGTCTCTTCTGTATTCTGTCTACTGAAGATATCTCTTAAGATTGTGTCTTTAGTCCTTTCAACTTTCTTTTCCAAAGAGATCTCAGCACATTTATGGCTTTAGATTTAGATTTAGATCTCTGTGCTGATCTAAAACTTTTTCTATTATTCTGACCTCTAGTTTGCATTTCTTTGCTCATTTCCATTTGTTCTACAACTATCCCTAAATATATTCTTTTCCCTGAAAACTAGTATCTGAAATCAGATTCATCCTCTTTTTCTTTAATCAACCATGTGCCCTTTCTACCTTTCTTTTTTCTGTCCTTCACTGGTTTTTCTCCCCATTTTCTAAAATAAGAATCCACAGAGTTATTTTTGTCTGTTTTGTTTTTTTGTCATCACTTCCAGTATTGAGTCTGTCACATTATTTGTTTTATTATTCCATTATTTCTTCTTTGAAATACCTTTTTTTCCCATTTCTTGTGCTACCCAATTAGACTCATTAATTTATTCAGTTTTTCATTTGGTGAAATGAAAGATTAGCATGTACAGCATGTTTTGTTTTGTGTGGAGGAGGAGGCATACTGTATATATGTCAAAACCCTGCAATATTGGCTGGTTTCTAATGTAGGTAGATACACCGGATTTACATCTTTTATATGTATTAGCTGTAATGGGAAATCCATTGGTTGTAGAAAACTCTCCTAAACTATTACTATACCTCCTTTCCTTAGCCTCCCATTTGCTTCTCTTCTACTCAGAACCCTTGTTTTGTCCACTAGTAATAAAGGGTGAAATCGATGATAGGAGTTCCCATAGGAGTTGGGAATGGGAGGGAAGTTCCTGCATCTCTTAACTCATGTCTGCCTACAAAGCTCTCATGCTCATCTTAACCACATATTTTTTTTTTTTTTTAAGACAGGGTTTGGCTCTGTGACCTAGGACCCAGGCTAGAGTGTAGTGGTGTAATCATAGCTCACTGCAACCTCCAGCTGATGGATGGGCTCAAGAGATCCTCCCACCTTAGCATCTCAAGTAGCTGGGACTCTGTACATGCACCACCCACACCTGGCTACTTTCTTTCTTTTTTTTTGTAGAGATGAAGTCTTACTGTGTTGCTCTTTTTAAAAGGAAATCATTCCGATTTCCAGCCTTCATTTACCAGACTTAGTATTTGATCTGATTCCATCATTCCCAAATACAGTCTAAGTGAAAAGTCTTTTTTTTCTCACCGATTGTTGTAATACTAGAACAAATGATAAAGCTGATATTTTGATATTTTTAGTTATGCCAGAATTCACTATTAATAACACTGTCTTCTTTTAAGATACTCAGAATGTATTTTTAAAAAATCAATGGAACTAAATAATACATTTCAAAACATTATAGTTTATACACATATTAGAAAACATCAAATAAAAACACATTTTAAAAATATAAAGTTAAACACATTAAATTCTAATGTTATTAGATAATAAAGAATTCAAAAACACAAAATAAAAATAATCTGTTAAACATGAAAACTGAAAGAATAATTTTTTAGTTTAATCTTATAAATCAGTGCATCAGAAGTATCATAATTCAGTCCAGTGGCTTTTAGTGCAAATTTGTTTAGCTTTTCTTTTGAAAAGCTCTGATTCTGTATTTGCTGAGGAATGATGGTGAAAAGATAACATAAAAGCTAGCTCTAGATGTTTTCCTCTAAATCATTCATCTTCAAATAATCCTACTCTATTTACAATTGAAGCAGTATTTTTTTGAGTAACTTCTTGTGCTTTTTTTGTTGATTGTAGCTATAGTTTTTGTTATTAAAAGTACTTCTACTCATCTTCAGTTTCATCAGAAAATGATTTTGTTGCACAGTGACTTGTACCAGTTCCAATAATGTGTCCATGACTCCTCATTTGGAAAGTCTTCCAACTGGAATAAGAACTTTCTTGCCATAGAAGCTTTGCCTAGTCAGGGTCATTTTTTTTTTCTTTTGATGACTATGGAGATATAGAAGAACAAAATTTTGAGATATAGAAAAGAGTGTTCAGAATTTGCAGGGTGTAAGTGGACAGAGAATAGTGTTATTCAGGAAGTGTTTTAATCACAGTTTGAGTAATTGAGTCATCATCTTGATTTTAGGGTTTTAAAAATATCAAAACTCTATGCTCTTCTCTCTGTACTGTGTTCTTTGACTGTAGTCTCTTCTCTGGGGTGGCCTCTGGGCAGCTGACTTCAGTGTGCTAGTCCCACTCTACAGTTATACTTTCCTGACCTGTTTAGCTCTTGCCTTAGTCTGTTTTGTGTTGCTCTATAAGAATACTGAGGCTGAGTAATTTATAAAGAAAATAGATTTATTTCGCTCACAGTTCTGCAGGCTCTACACAAAGCATGGTGCCAGCATCTTCTCAGCTTCTGGTGAGGGTTCTGTGCTGCCAGAACATGGTGGAGAAAGTCTGGTCTGGTCTTGTCTGGTCTTTTGTCTTGACTTGTCTTGTTCTTGTCCTTGTCCTTGTCCTTGTCCTTGTCCTTGTCCTTGTCCTTTCCTTTCCTTTCCTTTCCTGTCCTGTCCTCCTTGTCTTGTCTTGTCCTGTCCTGTTCTGTCCTGTCCTGTCCTTGTCCTGTCTTGTCCTTGTCTTGTCCTGTCCTGTCTTGTCCTTGTCTTGTCTTGTCCTGTCCTGTCCTTGTCTTGTCCTGTCCTTGTCTTGTCTTTTCTTGTCTTGTCCTTGTCCTTGCCTTGTCCTTGTCCTTTTCCTGGTCTTGTCTGGTCTTGTCTTTGTCCTGACCTGTCCTGTCCTGTCTTGTCTTGTTGTCTTGTCTTAGATGGAGTCTCATTCTGTTGCCCAGGCTGGAGTGCAGTGGTGCAACCTCAGCTTCCCATGTTCAGGCAATTTTTGTGTCTCAGCATTCCAAGCAGCTGGGATTACAGGTGCATGCCACCATGCCCAGCTAATTTTTTCATTTTCGGTAGGGACAGGGTTTCATCATGTTGGCCAGACTCGTCTCAAACTTCTGACCTTAAGTGATTCGACTGCCTTGGCCTCCCAAAGTGCTGGGATTACAGGTGTGAGCCACCTAGCCCAGCTTCTTTTTAAATACAGCATGCCACATCAGAAACTGGAATACCAAAAGTCACAAGCCATATTTCCTATCATTTTTAATCTTAAAATGCTCTAAGAAATCCCAAAAGGTCTCTTAAGAGAACTCAAAAGGTTTAGTTTTAAAACTAGAGGATATTTTCATGGTATTGTCATCGAATTTATTCAGATTGTAAAAAAAAAATTTTTTTGAGTTGGCAATAAAAGTTTTTATATTGATATAAGGTAATATTATTCTGTCTGGAATGATAAAACTATTAGCTCTGAACTGAGAAGAGAGCACATAATATGTTCATTTTCTTATATGAAGAAATGTCTGCACCAAGAACTTGTTCATTTTACAAAGTAAGTTTTCTGTCAGAAAGACTGTCATTTAATTCATGACACAAGTTAGAGGCTGCAGTAGGAAGATAAAATGAATGGCCAAGAGTTGAAATGTATCATCACAATTATCATGTGCAATGAGAATGTTAAAGATGCTTAAAGATATTTAAGATATAAATAAGACAATTGTCCATACGCATTTGACTTGTTACTTTTTTGGAATGGGGTAAAAATAGAATTCCTGTCAATGAATTATTATTTTGTATTGAGTAGGAGATACTTATTTTGTAGGAATATATGCTTTTCAGACCATTTCAGTTAAAACAGTAATGATATTAGTGGAATCTGTCTTATTAAGGAAGCAAATCAACTCAACAAAAAGCTTAGAGTCATGGTCTGTGATTTTGAGTCACCTAGACAGTTTTCCAGAGTCATCACTAGCCTTGTCTTAAGACATAGTATGTCGTCTTCATTTATCTTAAACTATATCACAAAATCTCTGAGATAAAATTAGTCAAATTATCAATTATAAAGCCATATGCTACCTACGTCAAGACTTTTCTCTCTTCATCTGATCATATGATGTGTAATATGCTTATTTAATAAAATATAATCCATGCTAAGTAAAGCATAACATCTATGATTTTTACATCAATATTCTGAGTAGCAAAATGAGAAGTCAGATATTTATTACTATTCATATACAAATGTGTAACAAAACGAATCCATGTGGTAGATTGTCATTCTTACAACTTTACTGAGGTAAATTTTACTTAAAAATTTCACATGGTAGGTTTTGAGGCGAAAAAATACTTTTTAAAATCAAAAGATTAACTCTCCTATGTGGTACATGAAAAAATACGCTAAAACTAAAAACAATGGGCAGCCTGGGCAACATGACTTTATGTCATGTAGAGAGACCCCCATCTCTACAAAAAAAATTTTTTTTAAACTTAGCCTGGCATGGTGGCATGCACATGTGGTCCTAACTACCCAAGGAGGCTGAGGCAGGAGGATTGCTTGAGCCCAGGAGTTCAATACTGCAATAAACTGTGATTGCATCAGTGTACTCCAGCCTAGGTAACAGGGCAAGACCTTTTCTCTTACTATTCAAATAAAATAAATAAAAATTTAAAAATAAAAACAAAAGGAAAATATTTTCACTTATAATCTCTTTATTGTGATACAACAGCTGTTTTCATTTTTCAGTATTTCTTTTCACTCATTACCTGTTTTAAGGGAAGATGAGTATCACAGGTCTCCTTGCAAGAACCTATCAATAGACAGGTTTCCAAAAGAAGAGAGTCATGAGCCTACTGGATAAATCTGAATGAATGATTGAATTTTAGTTAAATTCTGAATTTATTCTACTGTAAAATGGGGATCATTCTTGAACTGAACCTCTTAATGTAAATACTTCCTGTTTTTGTTCCTCTGTGTTAAATACTCTTCTTCATAATCTTCCCTGAAGAAATAAGAGAATACATGGGGCTTGCAGTTGCTCTTTTCTTGGTTAGCTTTTGTGCAGATTACTTTGTAGCAGTCAGGCATTGTGGTAGTTGTTAACTAAAGAGGTAGACATGACTCTACCCTTAAGGAGCTTGTACCAAACCAGTAACTGGGCCTTAGGATAATCTGTTTTCTTCTCTTTTCTCCTCCCATCTGGATTCTAAACCATCCTTCAAGACCTAACTCAATTCCTAAACCATTCATGAAATCTGCACCAGCCCAAACTCTTAATGATATTCCCTTCTTTGAACTTCTTTTGCATTGTTATATATACAGTTTTGTTTTCTTAATAGGATTTGAAATTCTGAATATATAGTTTCATGTCTGTTCTGCCTCCTTAATAGGATTTTAAATTCCTTCTGAGCATGAATTATTTTCTTACTATCTTCTGGATTTTAGCATAGAATGCAGTAGTAGGTAAATAAGAGATGCTGAAGTATTTGCTGATTCCTTTGACTTGGAGACTTTTTAAGATACACTTTATCTTTTCAAAAGAAAGAAACACAGAAATACAAAGCAAACAAACTACAAAAACAGCTTGCTTTTCACAGCCGCTAAATAATGGTACCACTTTTTGATTATTTGGAAATTATTCGGTTTGGGTGAGAGGTGCTAAATAAATGTATCAGAGAAGATAAATTGTTTGCACTACAGCCTAGCTGTTTACTCACAGTTTCCTCTCTTACAGATATTGCAGGAGAAGAGGCTGGGTACGATCCACACTCATTATGTCTGTTCCACAAACAAGTACTTCAAAAGGGAAAGTCATGCTTAAAGAGTACAGCGGACGCAAGATTGAAGTAGAGCACATTTTTAAATGGATAACTGCTCATGCAGCTTCTAGGATCAAAACCATTTATAATGCTGAACATTTGAAAGAAGAATGGAATAAAAGTGATCAATATTGGTTAAAAATATACCTATTTGCAAATCTTGACCAACCCCCAGCTTTCTTCTCTGCACTAAGTATAAAGTTTACTGGAAGAGTTGAGTTTATTTTTGTTAATGTAGAAAATTGGGACAACAAGAGTTACATGACAGATATTGGCATATATAATATGCCATCATACATACTTAGAACTCCTGAAGGAATTTACAGATATGGAAACCACACAGGTGAATTTATATCACTTCAGGCCATGGATTCATTTTTGCGCTCATTACAACCTGAGGTAAATGATCTGTTTGTTTTAAGCTTGGTTCTAGTTAATCTTATGGCTTGGATGGACTTGTTTATTACACAAGGAGCTACCATAAAGCGATTTGTGGTTCTCATAAGCACTTTAGGGACATATAATTCTCTATTAATTATTTCCTGGCTACCTGTGTTGGGCTTTTTACAGCTACCTTACTTAGATAGCTTTTATGAATATAGCTTAAAATTGTTGAGATACTCCAATACAACCACACTGGCTTCATGGGTAAGGGCAGACTGGATGTTTTACTCTTCACACCCAGCCCTGTTTCTCGGTACATACCTTGGACATGGTTTACTAATTGATTACTTTGAGAAGAAGAGAAGGCGCAACAACAATAATGACGAAGTCAATGCCAATAACTTAGAATGGCTATCAAGTCTGTGGGACTGGTACACCAGCTACCTCTTCCACCCAATTGCTTCTTTTCAGAACTTTCCTGTAGAATCTGATTGGGACGAAGACCCTGACTTATTCTTGGAACGCTTAGCTTTCCCTGACCTTTGGCTTCACCCTCTAATACCAACTGATTATATTAAAAATTTACCCATGTGGCAATTTAAATGTCTTGGAATCCAGTCTGAAGAGGAAATGTCAGAGGGGTCTCAAGATACCGAAAATGACTCAGAAAATGAGAACACAGACACTTTTAGCAGTGAGAAGGAAGTATTCGAAGATAAGCAAAGCATATTTCCCAATTCTCCAGGAAGAGCAAGTCACTGTGATGCTGAGGCTTGTTCATGTGCCAATAAATATTGTCAGACCAGCCCATATGAAAGGAAAGGGAGGTCATATGGATCATATAACACTAGTGATATGGAACCTGATTGGTTAATTTGGCCTGCTGATATGCTACACTGTACTGAATGTGTCATTTGCCTAGAGAATTTTGAAAATGGATGTTTGTTAATGGGGTTGCCTTGTGGTCATGTGTTTCATCAGAATTGCATTGTGATGTGGTTGGCTGGGGGCCGACATTGTTGCCCTGTTTGCCGGTGGCCTTCTTATAAAAAAAAGCAGCCATATGCACAACACCAGCCCTTGTCAAATGATGTCCCATCTTAACCACGTGCAATTTGTCCTTTATAAGCTTTGAGTATCTTACAGCTTGCCTTTTTAATGTTAGTCACAATGTTTTTGTGGTTTGAGGTTTAGTTTAATGTTAGTGCAGTGACAGGAAATACACATTATGCTAATGTTGATGACAGAATTTATTTGGTTGCCTTGTGTGTCAATTGAATGCATACTTAATTGTAAAAATTTTTATTTACAACTTTGGAAATTCAGAAGTTAATGTTTTTTGTAAGCACAAAAGAAGTATGATAGAAATTTATCCTAGCAAGACTTTACAATACAGGATCAAATTCTAATGGAATTGAGACAGTTTCTTATCCTAAATGTTTTCTCCCTTTTTACAATCTCTGTCCAGCACCTCTTGGTTAAATAATGTATGCTGTGAGACATGAAATTAAAACAGACCTATGAAATAAATTATTTTAAAACCAGCAGATTACAGATTTTCTAATGTTAAATTTTTTTTTGATAAGGTGGATGAATGCTATAGGTGTTTTGCTGGTTTGTTAATTTCACAGGTAGATCAAACATAATTCTTGACTGATGTGGGGGAAGACAAATTACGTTGCTGACACTGGCTAGAAGTGACAGTTCACCTTTTAGCTTGGTTAGCTTTGATGGGAAAGAATTTCATGGTGGGCTTTTGAAAGAGTATTAGATAATTTATTATTATTTAGCACATTCATCAAATAAAATTAACTATAGCATATTGGCCACACATATTTTTCTTTTACTTTTGAAAATTTTTTAAAGCCACAGAAAACTATAAACATAATACAGTTAACATCCATTTCTCTATCTAATTCACCAAGTGTTCACATTTTGTTATATTTGTTTTATCTCCTCTTATATGTATTTTTTTCTTCTTCTATTTTTTTTTTGCTGATCCTTTTGAAAATAAATTTCAGTCATCATGATGCCTGACCCCTAAATATATCACCACATGTCTAAGAACAAGGATATTTTACGTAACCGCTATGCCATTATGACACCCAAGAAATTTAACATGGATTCAATAATAGCTAATGTATATAAAATCAATACTCCCCAATTGCTCTTAAAATATGCTTTATATCTAAATGTTTTTGTTTTGTTTTTATTGTGACCTCAGGCAAAGTTTATACATTAGGTTTACTCTCTCCTTTCATCCTTTCCTCTAGAGTAATTCCCCCTGCCCCTTTTCTAAAAGGTAGACTCTTTGTCTTCTCTCTGGTGGTTTTATTTTTATTTTATTTATTTATTTTTTTATTTGAGATGGAGTCTCTCTTTGTCGCCCAGACTAGAGTGCAGTGGTGTGATCTCAGCTCACTGTAACCTTTGCCTCCCTGGTTCGGGCGATTCTCGTGCCTCAGCCTCCCAAGTAGCTGGGATTACAGACATGCGCCACCATGCCTGGTTAATTCTTGTATTTTTGTAGAGATGGGGTTTCGCCATGTAGGCCGGGCTGGTATCAAACTCCTGGCCTCAGGTGATCCTCCCACCTCAGCCTCCCAAAGTGCCGGGATTACAGGCGCAAGTCACTGCACCTGGCCCATCTGTTTTGTTTTGTTTTGTTTATTACTTTTTAGTTTTTTCAGAGACAAGGTCTTGCTCTGTGGGCTATGCTGGAATGCGGTAGCATGATTCAAGCTTCAACTCTTGGGCTCAAGGAATCCTCCTGTTTCAGCCTCCCAAGTAGCTGGGACTACAGTCTTGAGCCACAATGCAAAGTGTTTTTTGTTGTTTTTTTAAGAATTGGAGTCTTCCCATATTGCCTAGACTGGTCTTGAACTCCTAGGCTCAAGCAATCCTCCCAAGTAGCTGGGGTTACAGACACAAGCCATCAAGCCTTGCTAATTGACTTTTTCTGGTACTAACATTTTTGGAGACTACAGGCTGGTTGACTTACAGAAAATCTTCCACATTCTAGATTTTTGTCTGTTTCTTTCATGATTAGATTTAATTAAAGGATATTGCCTAGAAGATATGTTCTTCCCATAAATCTAAATGGCATCAGGAGGCACATGTCAGTTTGTCCCATTGTTGGTGACGTTTGGGTAAAGTGATATTTGCCTTATCTTTCCATTCTAAGATACATTTCCACTTTAAGAAGGAACCTGTTGAGACTATGCAAATATCCTGTTCCTCAACAATCTAACCCAATGGCTTTAACATCTGTTGATTCTTTACATCAATCAGTTATTAAATGGGAGTTGCAACATGGGGATTTTATTTCTTAATTTCAAGACAGGGGCTTGCCCTGTCACACAAGCTGCATTGGCATGATCACCGATCACTGCAGCCTCAACTGCCAAGGTAATGGGGACCACAGGTGTGTGGCACCACATTTAGCTAATTTTTGTTTTTGTTTTGTTTTGTTTTGTTTTTGGTAGAGACAGTTTCACCATGGTGCCAGGCTGGTCTTGAACTCATGGGTTCAAGTGATCCACCTGCCTTAGCTTCTCAAAGTGCTGGGATTACAGGCATGAGCCAGTGCGCCTGTCTAAGATGGGGGTTTTCTAATACCGTCATCCATTCTACATTTATTGGCTGACTTTTTTGTGAACAAGACCTTTCTATTTTTCTTTCACACTTTAGATTCACAGATTTTAAAAAATATCTTATGTGTTAGAATTTATTATTATTAATTTTCAAGTCATTTCAGATTTGGCTACAGGGAGCCTCTCTAAGCCAGCTCTTATGTCATCCATTTTACATTTATTGGCTGACTTTTTTGACAGTCCCTTTAATCTTGAAGTACTTCCTTGCTTTTTGACTCAAGGTATCCTAGGTTCACTTTGTATTTTCTCTGAGCTAGCTCTGTAATCAGCCATTTCTTCAAAGTGCCCATTTCATGGTAGACTTCTAAAATCCTTAATTGAATCCCCACAAAACGGCAAGAAATTTTTTTCATTCTGAATTACTGCTAGACTACTAACAAACATTTTTCCCCTTCATGATGCATTGTGTCTCACTTTTATATGCTAATGGAATAGTAAGGTCTGGCAGTTATTTTGTATTAATATTTGGGAGTTTTTAAGTAAAAGTGCAAGCACAGCTTCTTGTGCTCTCATTTTACATTTGAAAAAAGTAATCATTCACAGTTCTCAAATATGAACATAAAAACAAATTTTTAAAAAATTTCAAGTGCTCATATTATTGTAAATGTTAGTGTTTCCCACTGTTCTGCCATTGGTTCACTGATATTTTTTCTCTCTTCATGGGATGTCTCCTAAATCTACATGTCTAAGCAAAGGCCCCTTGCAGGTCTTTACTTTCATTTATAGCTGTCTGCTGGACAACTCCTCCTGGATGTTTCTAAGTACATAATAAGCCTAAAAGAGCTTTTTTATTCATTTATCCCACCCCCAGTCATCCTCTTAATTAAGGTCGTGATTTCAGTGAATTAAAAATTATATATATACACATGTGTATATATGTGTGTGTATATTTACATACATATATGCACACACGTGCATGCATATGAAATGTACACAAAAGCATAGAAATTTTTGAATGGAATCAAAATTTCTCCAGTATTCCAGGGCACACCATACTTTGGAGACTACTAACTTGGAAGATAAACCAATCTCTAACACTGGCTTTCAAGGTTCATCATCTGCTCCTGGCCTACCCCTTCTACTCATCATGACACTGTATTCTGCTTGTGACCCAGGCTCATGCTCTCATTTTTCCTAACTTGGTGCTTTGCTATTCCCTCTATCTGACATTCTCACCCCTTCCTCTCTGCTTTGCCTGGCAAAATCCCACTTTCTCTAGAAATTCGGTCCCTTCCTTCCCATCTTCTTCCTCACCAGGCCTATAAAAAGACAAAATATAAAATGAATGTATATTTTTATATGAATGTGTATCATTTTATATGAATGTATATCATGAATGATATGAATGTATATTTTTTATATGAATGTATATAAAAAATATACATTCATTTTATATTTTTGTTGATTTTGCTCCACTGTTGATGATCAAACTTAGGATTATCAACAGTGGAGCAAACCGATGTGTGCCCTTCCTCCATATTCCAGTGATACCATGTACATACCTGTCACACTTAGCTGCATTGAATTAAAACTGTGTCTTTGGTGAGTTCCTTTATGGTAGAAGCTGTGTTTTATTCATCCAAGTATCCACAGTGAGGGCACAAAATAGACATAATACATCTTCAATGTTAGATATGCAATTAAAATACTACAATAAGATCAGAGGGAAAATAATTGCCAAAGGTACATGTCTCCAGGTGACCTTGACTCATCACTTAATTGTTAAGCACAACTAGTAATAATGCTTTTGTCAGATTTTCCTAGAGGTGGAGCCCTGAAGGAACTCTTTAAAGTTGACAGACTCTAAACTTAGCTGTGTTTAAAAGAAAACTTTGAATTCTTAGAACAACCTATCACATGTAATGAACTATGGATTTCAAGTATGTGGGCTTTGTAGTTACTGAACTCTATGATTAACTGTAATAGTAGGTTGATTTTTTCTGATCAAGAGTTTTTCTACTGCCTTCTCTAACAATTTCTTGTGTAGTCTTTTCTTTCTTTAAGGATGGTAAGCTCCTTGAGGGCAGGAATAACACTATAATCTACTCTTATATTCTTAACGTATTAGACCCAGAGTAGATATTCAGTCAATAATTGTTGGTTTGAACTTTGAGAATCTATTTAAATTTTTCCCTTTACCACACTTTTATTTATTTATTTATTCATTTTTGAGACAGAGTCTTGCTCTGTCACCCAGGCTGGAGTGCAGTGGCACAATCTTGGGTCACTGCAACCTCTTCCTCCCAGTTTCAAGTGATTCTCCTGTCTCAGCCTCCTGAGTAGCTGGGATTACAGACACATACCACTGCACATGGCTAATTTTTGTATTTTTAGTACAGACAGGGTTTCACCATGTTGGCCAAGCTGGTCTTGAACTCCTGATCTCAAGTGATCTGCCCACATCAGCTTCCCAGAGTGCTGGGATTACAGGCATGAGCCACCACACTCAGTTTTTACCAAACTTTTTACTCTCCATTTTGAATAGGTGGAAAAGATTTAACAGAAGAGATTATATTTTTAGTGCCCATTAGTAGTGACAAAAATATTAATGTTGATGTCCTGCTCTAAGACAAAAATCTTAGTTTTTCCCCATCGTTACATACTTCTTTTCTTCTATTCCTTAGATTATTTGAGAACCTGGCAGATTATTCATGTGATCTTTCTCCTCGCTCTCCCACGTTTTTCTCCTTGGCCATTTTATTATTCCTTAAAATTCTACCAAAGGGACATGAGGTAGAGAAAGATGAGGTGTTAGGTCCTTTTTGCTACTGGATCTGATTAAAAATTTAGAGAAGAATAAATTGAAATTTGTTAAAATGCTTTTGAATCATCTGTGTTTTAGTCACTCTTGTTCTTTGTTGTCAATAATTAAATTTATTGACATGATCAATT